AACATGAAAACAACTTCAAAGATGGGCAGGAAATTATTAAACTGTATAATACATAGTTTTGTTTACAACTGTATAATACAATAGTTTTGTTTACATTTTTATAGATTTTACAAATATCTTACTGATATGTTCATGTACATGTAGAAGTATACACTTGTATAATCTCGCATGTGACTTTGTGCCTACATTAAACAAATGTACTTCAAAAATTATGTGATATGCTTTTTTCATACATATATATGATTTTTTTCATGATTTAAGTGGTTTTTTTCTTTTTAAAAAGAGTATTTGTGATCAGTAGCTAAAATAGATGTTTTTAATGCATTGGATATGTTAATGAATTGGAATAATTAACATTCCTGTTATATTTAATAGAAATATTGGATATCAGAATGAACCGTGAAGTTTTATTTTTGTTTTTTGTTTTTTTGTAGGTGAAAAATTGCTTTGGTTTCAACACCACCTTGATCCTGACAAAATGGAATACACAAAAAAAGAAGCTTCTGAATTAGTAGAAAAGTAGGTTTATAGCAAGTGAACAAAGTGTTCTGTGTTTGGAACAAGAATGTTGAGTTGATGTTCATAATTTTATCTGCTTGGTATGTTTTTCAAATTCAAAACAATACCCTGTTCTGTGTGATATACTAGAACATCAGTTGGTATATGCCATCTTTAGTATTTATTCACACAGTGTAATTTTAACATTTCATATATGTTAATTATCATAAGTAATTAGAAACAGTTAAATTAACTGTTCTAATATAATTGTTTTCTGGAATAATACATACTTGTTGTGTAATATTTGTAGACAACTTTTGAAGATATCTTTAGCTTCAAATATCCTGTTTCTGGATTTTGTAAACGAACTGTTATTTATTTTAAATATGAGCTGAAATTAAAAAGCAACCTTAGTTTGCAACATACACAGAGTAGTTTGAGGGTATACTGTATATATATTTTGCTTTTTTAAAATCTTTTCCTGCTAAAGAAAGCTATGCTATTAATTCTTTTGTTGTCAGGTTGCTGTTTAAAATCTGGATGGTTAATGAGATTAAGACAGAGAAGTACCTTGCTTCTTATATTCCCTTCATAATTTTAAATATCAGTATTTTTGTATATATTCTTTAATATTCAAGACGATTTACTGTTTCTAAATAATTGAGAAGTATTACTTTAAAAAAAAATAATGTTCCTAAAATGACAGTTTATTTTGTTTTAGTTATTTGCAGAGATTTCGTGATGAGTTGGAGCAGATTGAACTGCACAACAGCATTAAAGGACGACAGTCCAGACAGCATAGTTCCAGGGAAACCGTAATCAAGCAGACTATGGAACGTGAACGACAGCAATATGAAGGCTATGGCATCGGTATGCTGTGCTAAAAAGTAATCTGTTATTAAAATGTGCCCAGAATATAAGAACTCTGCATAAAAGAACAGTAACACATGTAAATAAAAGTTAATTGTTTTCTCATATATTACTCATACTTTATTCTCTGTATGCTGTTGGACTTTACATGAGTTTGACATTCAGATATCAGCTTCTCAAACTGCAGAGTGGGTAATCTGTGTAAGCCCTTCCAAATTGTGGTAGTTAATTTGATGCATGCAAAATATTCTTTAATAAAAATAGATGGCCAGTTTTATCTTGTTTCTGATAAATTGATACAAGTTTAGATGAGTTTGTTTGAAAAATTCAATCTCTCTCTCTTTGTTAATTTGGTTCTAATTTGAGAAAAATGGTTTATACTGCTAGACAGTATAAAGACAGTATTGTCTTTTATTGAGAAGAAATGACCATTCAATGGTGTGACTTCCCTTTCTTTCCCAGTGTTCACCATTCATTAGTTTCTCTTATCAGTTAATTATAATTTTATCTGGAAAAATTAGATGCTTTTCCAAATTTGATGTGAAACATTTAAGTGGTAAATTAGACTAATTGATTAAAGTTGCTTAATTGGTTAAAATAATATCTTAGGTATGTATTTTTTTTCTTTGTGGCAAATACATTTTTCTCCTGATAAAGTACTTAATATAATACATGTACATAATCTAATAAACACAAATAGAGACATCCAGAGAACAAGAGGTGCATATTCACTTGGTGTGATAACATTTCTTTCTGTCAACTTGAGCTTCTTAAGATTGAAGTCAATCTGATTTATATGCAAATTCTCAGTGTTTCTTATTTATCTAATTCTCTGTCTAGACCAGGGGTGGGGAACCTAGGCCCTTTTACGACTTGTGGACTTCAACTGGCTGGCTCAGGAATTCTGGGAGTTGAAATCCACAAGTCGTAAAAGGGCCCAGGTTCCCCACCCCTGCCTTAGACAGTCACTTCCAGTGGTCATGCTCCATGCAGGACCAGAGGCATCCTTCCTGTCCCATGTCTTACTGGCTGGGGAATTCTGGGAGTTGAAGTCCACAAGTCGTAAAAGGGCCAAGATTCCTCACCCCTGGTCTAGACCTATATGCCAATGCCTCTCTTTTAAAAAAAAAAATATGAGGCAATAACTATGTTTTAAAAACTTCAGTTATGGCTTTTTTGTAATCTTGATTTTGAAATATTAGAGTTTGATATTAGAGCTCAAAAGCTGTAATTTATGGAACCATCGACACATTTTTGAATGAACTGAATTACCCTGCTTTGCCAGGATTAAAATTTTAGTCCAAGCCCATGTCTTTTACTAGCAAGTTGAAGCTAGATAAGGCAGATTTTATTTATTTATATTTATTTATTATTTAGATTTATATCCCGCCCTTCTCGTAGGACTCAGGGCGGCTGACAATCAATTAAAATACATAAATAACAATACAGGTTTAAAATTAATTAAAAGAAATATTAAAGATTGTCCAATTTAAAATATTGATTAAAACCCCTCTAAAAATTACCCTAGGCCAGTCCTGCGAGCTGGAATAACCAAGTCTTGAGGGCGCGGCGAAAGGAAGGGAGATCAGGGAT